GGGAGCCCGCGATGGGGCGAGCGCGGCGTGGAGGTGGGCGGCAGTGCTGCGCCGGCTTGGGAGAGGGGCTCGGGGGGCGGAGACCGCCTCTCTCCATCAGCCATTACCGACCGCGGAATTCCCAGGAGCCTGGAAACATCACTTGGCATTGTGTGCCAGGAGCTGGGCCTGCCCTCCCGAGGTGCCACTCGGTGTCCGGCTTCCCCTGCGCGGTGACCAGAGAGCTGAGCTGGTTTGGGACCAGGCGGGGGGTGAGCAGTTCTCTGCCCAGGGGCTGCGAGCGGGCTGGGCTGTAGGCCTCCTGTCATTAGTTATTGAAAACCAGCAAGACATCGAGAAGAGCTGTGTAACGATGGCTGGGGAAATGAGATTAGTCTCCTTCTAGAAGGAGCAGCCTCCACAGAGCGGTGCCAACCCTGGTTTCTGTGCTTCGGATGGGACCAAAGCGATCGAGGAGCTCAGTTCGTGTGTGTCGGTGAGGTAGGCTGACATGCTCCGAGGGTAACATGAGCTGGCAGCGTAACCTATTTCTGCGCGAGCTATAAAATCCTGTACGTAAAATGGAATTGGTGGATGTAATTGATCCAGATTTTCTTTTCCTTCTGCCTTTGGGTTAAAGTCAAGCTGCTTAAGAGAGCTTGCTGGTGTGCCCACCCTTGGCTTTGCTGTTGTGTTCAGCATAAGCTGTTCTCCTCGCGGAAGCGGAGAGGATTTTGGTCTAACGGAGGCCGTGTTTAAGCTGTCCCTTTTCTTGAAGTCTTCCCAAACTGCTGTTGACCCCATTGCCTGTCAGCAGCCTCTGTTGCAGGTATTAAGTTCGGCTAGGATGGCAGCCAAGCAGTTGCCGCTGCAACTGATGTCGTCAGAGAAGAGTGTTTATCTGTGGCTGACCTAAGCCTGATTCTGAACACGCCATACACAATAATCTCAGTGATTTGTCCCGTTTATGATCCTTCTACTCCAGGGAGTTCTGCTGAATAACATTGCCACGGACAAACCTGTTTCAGTTGGAAAGTTAGTCAAAGCTCTCTGTGCTCAGCTGGGTTGACGGTGGGTCTCATTCACTCCCCCTATCTCTTGTGTTTCTGGTTAATCTTAAAAAGCGTTTTAATTAGCTGGTATCTCTGCCCTTGAAGTGTTAATGCTGGTCTGTAAGAGCGTGGCTTGTGTCCTGAGATATGAAGCAGGATGGCTTTCAGGTTCTCGGTCTTGCAGTCAGGTGGAGGCTCTGCATACTCCTTGCCTTAGTTCTGCTTGATTCACCTCCAGCTTTAAACCGTGATTCACGTGAGTTGCATTTCCTCCCCGGGCTCGTAAGAAGGCTTGTGGATGCACCTGATGCACAGAAATGGGGAGCTGAGGAGTGACGGGACAGGTAGTGTGTCCTCTGCATCAGCATGTCAGCAATGCCGGGGTGCTGGTCTAAGCTCTTCCTCTCCCATGAGCAGCACCTCTCCCTAGGTAGGTGCCTGTTAAAGCTGTGATGCAACACTAAATCTTCTCTCGGGGAGGTGTTTATAAGATGCAGATGGCCTGGAAAGCCCCGGCCTGCTGAAAAGGAGAGGTTAAAACGGAGTTCACTGAATCTGAAAGCAGGCAGGGTATAAACAGATGCAACTGCCTCTGAAAGCAACCGTGTGTGTTGGCTTCGGCTTGTGCTGTAGCCAGGTTTATAATATCTGTGCTATTAATGTTTATGTCTGAGGGGAGGTGAACTTTATCCCGACAGCGGGCACGGAGCGCGGGGAAGCGTCGAGGTACACACCGACCGGCCGACAGCTTCCGCAGCAATGGGTGCGGCACAGTCAGAAAGCTGCAGCTGGGTAACACTAGAATGCAGGGCGTAAGGCGACGCGGCCAGGGTTCGGGTAGCCTTGGGTCTCAAGTAATTGTCGACGACTTCCTCTTTGGGATCTGGCAGAAAGAGTACAGGATATTTAGTCATTAACTGGGGTGGTGTAATCTGATGCTGTACGATTATGAGATAAAATGTCTGCTTTAGTGGGCAGAAAATGAGGGGCGTGGGTGGGTGTGTGTGTGGAGTCGATCTTCAGCGCTTTCTAGGAGTCCAGGCAGCGTGCACGCAGTGTGTCACCTTGGGTTAAAGAGCAAAGTATCATCTGTCAGGAGAGGTTTTCCTTGTCACAGTGCTGTCCCATTTGAGAGCTGCTCTGCCTGCATTCGCTTTTGTGGCGTTTACTCATGTGCCGTCCCTCTCCTCAGGGGTGGAGAAATAAGGTAATAACAGCATTGAGCGTGGGTGTTTGAGAAGACTCTTTTGCTTTTATCTTTTGCAGAGCAAAGAGTGGAAGATGTACGACTCATTCGAGATCAGCATCCAACTAAAATACCAGTAAGTCAGGTTCTTTTCACTTTGGTGGTGTTTTCGGTAGTTAGAAACCTGTGAAAGAGCTGTCCTGATGAGACCAAATTAAACTTGGGCCCCTGAGGGTCGTTAAGCCTGGCTTTCAGAAACATTCTCAAACTAGGGGCTGGCAGGCAGTGTTGTGGAGCAAGGTGCTGGCTGGGGACTGGAGGAAACGGGCGCTTCCTGTGTACTGAAGCCGTGTTGGGACTTCAAAGAAAAGCACACCCCAGCTGAGCTCTGAGATCTCCCTGAGCGATCCCACCTCCACTCACCTCGGTGTTTTTCATCTCCAAAAGAAGAGCCTGCAGAGGCTAACCAAGAACACGATGCAGCGATGCGTATGAGTTAGGGCTTTCATTGCCAGCCGGCGCTGAGAAGGGCAGGAGCACTCGCCTTCCAGGAAAGGGGCCTTCGCCTGAGCTCTCCAGAAGCGCTACCGGGCTGCCAAACCTCCGCCCTCAAAGAGAGATCAGCGCTCACCTGGTCACTCTTCTTCAGCTGGTCGGCTCCAAAGGCTGCCTGAATGTTTATTTTCTTTTATTTATGGCATCCTCAAGGTTACAAATGCAAAGCATCCCACGAAGGAAAAGGCAGGGATCGTGATACGTGGCTGAGGGGTTCTTCCTGACTGGCGAGCTTTTGTGGGACAGCTGTCACCGCATTTATGGCGGACTGCGGCCGTCTTCACGGCCATGTGGTGGAACAGGGAAGCTCTGGGGAGATCTTGGGGTGCAGAAGAGAGAGCTCAACCGGATGCCTCAGCCCTTGGTTCTCAGCAATGGGAGCTGATGAGTGAAAATTCCATGAGCCAGCTGCTTGCAGACTGGCCATTGCCACTGCAGGGTGATAACAGAAGCCTTCCTGTCGAACAGAAACCGAAAGGTTTTCAGTTTTCCGTTATCTGTAAACTGCTTCACCCCGAAGCTGCTGCTGGTTTACTGTGCTGTTGGGCACGGGAACAATTTTATAGCAGAGATTTCTTGACTTTTCTGGAATGGGCGGTTTTCCCCAAAAGGCCCTTCCCTAAAAAATCCAGTTGCTGACAGAAGATGGCAGTGTCACGCTGGGTGGTAAATCCCTCCTGTGCTGTCGACGCCCTTCATTTTGCTGTTGAAAATACTGTCTGTTGTGGTCTACCTTCTTAAAAATTGTGCTGGTGTTTTCCCCAAAACGAGCCAGCATTTACTTAAACCGGTGTGAGAAGCTGTTCTCTGATAGGTTTGTATTGGCCCGATCTCTCCTCACCTGTGCAACTCGGGAACAGCAGCACAGCCAGACCCTGGGAGCCTGGAAATGCTCCAAGCGGGTGGTGTCACGTAGCTACCCTTGGTTTAAACCCAACAAAACCCACGTGGCTGTGGAAACGGGAGTGCGCGGATTCTGAGGTCATTTCTTAAAAGCAGAAACTATATACAGTTGCCGGGCAGGGTGCTACTTAAACTGGCAAAGCTGCAGTTTCCTTGCGAAGCAGTAACTGCGTACTCGTCGTGGTGGAATTGCTGGTTCCTGGGCGTGCTGCCTGGAGATCAAGGAGGAAATTCTCTCCTTGGAGGCTCTATACACTTCAAAATGAGCTGTTTCTCGTGCACTAGCGTAGCCAGGGAAGGTGAATGGAATAGCATGCTAACCTGGAGGTACGAGGAAATTCTCTCCTTGGAGGCTCTGTACACTTCAAAATTAGCTGTTTCTCGTGCACTAGCATAGCCAGGGAAGGTGAATGGAAAAGCATGCTAACCTGGAGGTATGGTTTTTAGAAAGAGATGGCCTGAAACTGGGGAAATCCTAGTGAAAGCTGGTTGGGTTTGCAGACTGCTGTAGCCCAAGCCCCTGCTCAGCCACCGTCCCGCGCACGAGGGAAGCGTGCTTCGCCTTCCCCTGGGCGTCCCTGTTGCTGGCTGGTTCAGTGGGAGATGAGCTGATGCCGGCAGGCGATCTGCTCTGAAACGGCACTGGACCTGCGGATGCTCGTAGAATCGTAGCATCACAGACTGGTTTGGGTTAGAAGGGACCTTAAAGCCCATCCAGTCCCACCCCCTGCCATGGGCAGGGACACCTTCCACTAGACCAGGTTGCTCCAAGCCTCATCCAGCCTGGCCTTGGAGAGCTCGCTGCTCAAGCCCTCTTTGCTGCCCCCTCCTGCGGTGACTCTGGCAGACAGAGGCACGTGAAGGTAGTAGCGATTGTTCCTTGCCGGATGCGCGATGCCGCGTTCACAAATGAAGGGAAAACGGAGCTCAGCGTAAGCGCTTGTGCTTTGGGAGGGGGGCGCCGGGTACCGCTTCTGTCTTTCACATCTCCCGCTCCTTGCTCTTTCTCTCTTTGCAGGTGATCATTGAGAGGTACAAGGGAGAGAAGCAGCTTCCAGTTCTGGATAAGACCAAGTTCCTGGTGCCAGATCATGTCAACATGAGCGAGCTAATCAAAATTATCAGGTAGTATGCTGGGATTTCAGTGTAAGCTGCATCCACCTAAGAGTATGACTGTTAATTCCCCACCCGGTGTATGAGTTTGGGAACTTTTTAAATGGAAAATTCACCCAACCAGCGCTTGCTGTTGTCACCAGGACAAATTCATGAGAAGGTGCTTTTCCTTTGGCTTTGCTGGGAAAAGTCTGAGCTGAGCTGGTAGTCTGCGTGCAAGAGAAGTAACCGGTTCCCGGAGATGTAGGAGGGAGTCTGGGGCCGTGAATCCCTGTTTAACATGGGTGCTTCTGGCCCTGGGCCCCAGCGCTTCCTGCTTGGCTATTTTAGGATGCCTGCTTGGTGTTCTGCCTGGGAGTCCCTCTCCGGAGTGCCTGCCGCTTCCCACCCACTGGAGGGGGAATTTGGGCTCGTAGCCAGAGCTCTGAGCTGTTGCTTGGGGTCAATGTTGGCATCCTTCGATGGTGAGATGAGGTCTCCCCCAGGGACAGCGCCGAGGCCTGACCAACGCGTGTTCAGGCCGGTGTCTTTCAGTCCCAGCTGTTTGCACAGGCTCTGGCTTCTGCTCCGCGCTGGTGCTTCCGCTTGGCCCACAGGAGAAGGCGAAACAGCCGTGGAGCTGAGGCCCTGTGGTCTAAAACTGCGGGCAGGAATTCTGCTGGAAGCGCGTTTCTCCTGGCTTAATGCCAAGGAGGAATATTTGATGAGCGAGGGTTCTCAAGCGGTAAACTTGGGAGTTAGCAGCAAACCAGAGTTTGCTTTTTGTTGGCCACGGTGTAGCAGGGAGCTGGTTCTCGGAGGCCACAAGCTGTAAAAACTTGCCCCACGTGTCCAAACAATTCCCTGCCTCAGAGGCTTGTGCAAAAACCGCCTGTCGCAAGCAGATCCCAGCTCTTAGGGGAGTAAGGAAGCGAGATGGGGTTTTGGATGCGGGAACCAGGTTGCTCATGTCTTCCTTTTCGCTCCGGGTTACTGCCCTTCTGGAGCGTAGCTTTTCCAGTGAAATCGGGGCTTCTCTCAGGACCCCTGTGTGGCTGGAATTAGTAGATGAATTGAACCCAACCTGGAGGTGGGGAGCAAATGCCCTCCCCTGTGGCAGGGCTGCTTTGGGCGGGGACATCGTGCTGCCGGTGGCGGAGGGCTTGGTTTTCCCTCCGTCCCCGTGGGTGGGAATGCGCAGTCCTCACCATGAACCTCCTTCCCCTCCTCCATCCCCCACCCTCTCCCTCAACAGGCGACGCCTGCAGCTGAACTCCAACCAGGCCTTCTTCCTGCTGGTGAACGGACACAGCATGGTGAGCGTTTCCACGCCCATCTCCGAGGTGTACGAGAGCGAGAAGGACGAGGACGGGTTCCTGTACATGGTGTACGCCTCTCAGGAGACTTTCGGAGCGCGATCTTCCGTCTAAGACAGGCGAGCGGCTCCTAGCCTAGGATGTTGGTTTACCCTTGGCCATCACCCCCCCTCTTCCCCACACACCCCCCAGGGAAAGACACGGATGCCACCTACGCTCAGTCCCGTAGCATAGTCTTGCTTTAGCAGGTGTCTCACCTTCCCTTGCCTTGTTGGTGACTGTTAACAGTGCAGGCGAGCGCCTCCGGCTTCGAAACCTGCGGTAACGCTCCACGCAGGCACCTGGGCATTTCCGGACTTGATGAACGGAACCCGCGTAAAGGGACACTCGATTGACCTGAACCAAACAGGCGCCAGGGAGGAGCTGAAGTGTTTCGTGTGACAGTTTGCTGGAAAATCTCCCCGTGATTCCTTAAAGCTTTTAATTTTTTTTTTTTTTTTTTCTAATGGGAAGGCTCCTCGTGAGAGCAAATAATGTCCCAACATCCCGCAGTGGAGCTTTGGCTGCTGCGGCTCCATGAGACTCGCGTCGGCGCTGCGGCGAGTTCAGGCGAGTGTTTGGGGTGAGCTGGGGCAGGACGGCTCTGTCTGTCTCTCGTTTTTATTGTGGCACCGCGCCCTTTGGAACGGTGCCGGATCCTGGAATACTCGTACCGAACACCACAGCTTTATCGTAGTTGTAGGAAGTGTTTAACTGTAAAATACACACCTGGACAGGTAACACTGAAATAAACTCCAGTCTGCTACGAATTTCCAGTGCCTGCGTGTCCCATGAAACACAGTTGTTCCTACAGGTTCCCTTCCCAAAGTTCAGCCCCCTCAGCCCGGCGCTTTGCCGGGAGAAGGTAGTCGAGGGACGCAGGGCAGCCGGCCGCAGAGCAGTGCCCGGACCGCTCGCCATCTCCCCACCCACCCGGGGCCCGGACACGCCACCGGAATTACCGACCCGCGCTGCCCACGCAGCATCACCGCCCAGGGGGTTGGGGAGAGCCGCGTCCGGACGCAGCTCACCTGTGGGAGCTGCTGCCGGGAGCCCGACGGACACACGACGCCCTTTTCCGTCGCCGACGTCTGCCGCATGTGCGCGGTGTGGAGGATCCCACGAGGGGATGTCCCTGTCCTGGGCAGGCGGAAGGGCGTCTCGCGGGAGCTGTGTTTCTCCTCTGGAGGCGTCGCGGGGCGCGGCGTACCCCGATGTCTGTCGTGTGTCTGAACTAGCTGCATCTGTTCCCGGAAGCTAACTTACTCCGAGGGGGGGGAAAGAAGCAATACTACTGCGTCGTGGCGCTCTAGCTCGGTCAGGTGCACGGTTTGTACCTACTACACCTCTCTGCATGCATCTCGGTCGCTTACTTCAGGTTTTTTAATCGTTCATTGTGTTTTTACTCCCGCGTAAACTCCCTGACGCAGCTTGTTCTACGTGTCGTTTTGTTCGTGTAAGGAATGGTTTCGCTCCTAACTGACAGCCACCCTTGGAATTACGACGTGATCGACTGATACTCCTGTACAAATGTTGCTTTTTTAAAAACTAATACAGTGCTGATCTGGATGGGTTACGTCCCGACGGAACCGTGGCCTGTGTGGTTATTTCTAGGCGGCTCTTGTGCCTCCGGTCTCCGTAGGGAAGGGCGCGGAGCGCTCTGTTCCAGCGCGTGGGGACACCCGAGGTTGGGAACCCAGGTCCTGCCACCCCGACCCCTCCGAAACTCCTGACCCTGAACCACGCGGAGGGGGAGCCGCTGCCCTCCGGGAGGAGGGATCTGGGCTGTAGTTGCCCTGTGAGACGGTTCCGCCCTGGAGAACGGGGGAGCAGGGATGGGTTCCTGCGGCCCCGTTCTGTTTCTGCTCGACCCACCTCTTTCTCCCGTGTAATCCCGATGCTCCCGGGTTTCAGAAGGACTCTGCTCCTCAGGGATGGCCCTGGGCACCGGCCTGGACGCAGCAGAGCCACCGGCCCGCCATCGCAGATCTGCGCTCACGAGCGGATGTCTCTGGGTGGTGAGACAGCAAAAGTTACACAGGGAATCGAAAAAACCCCTATAAAACCCCTTGAAATGAAAAAAAAACCCACCAAGGGATTCTGTTTAACTCTTTATTTTCCATACATTAAATTTACTCAGATAAAAACATTCTAAAAATGTACCATTTTACTTTTAACAAAGTATAATAAAACATAAAAATCCCAATACCAGAATACTTGACATTTACAATTCAAAATCAAATTAGCTGAATATTAAATATTTACAAAACTATTTAAAATATTTATAAAGTTACATGCACAATTGGTAATACTAGAATTGACCGAAGTAAAAGAAATGGCTCAAACGGGAGCAGGAGTTTCCTTCATTCCTAGTGGAAAGTTACGTCCAAGAGAAGCTGTTAATCTGCACTTGAAACGGCGCAGGATTCGCTTCCTGCTTCGGTACCGACACCCTCCTTGCTTGGGAAGAGAGCGAACGGGTAGTTCCAAGGATTGACGAGGATACTGGGGGGCGGCAGGCGGCCTTCCCGGGGCCCCCCCCAGCCCAAGGCTTTCCCCCACCAGCCAAAGGCTTTTCCTAGACGCCGGCCAGCGCGCGGCGACGTGGGATTTCCCTCCGGGTTTGCCCGCTCGCGCCTCATCCGCGGGGCGTTCCCCCCCGAATCCCAAGCGTGCGTGGCCTCCAGCGAAACCCGCCTGTCGGACGGCGTCGGTTTGAGCGCGGGGAGGAGCGTTGCTCTGCTAAACGGATCGTTCCTGGCGCCTTCGCCCTGAAACCTGCCGGCCAGAAAGAGCGTCCAACAGAATCCGGGGGTTAGCGGGAAAGCTCCGGCGTTGGGCCGTCGGTTTCACGGCGCTTCACCCGTCCAGGTTTAACGACCGGGGTGTGAAAAGGTTCCGCCAAAAGCGGGGCACGACACAATGCCGGAAGGAAAAGTCTGGTGGAAGGCTGATCCGTACCTGGCGTGCTGTACCCAGCCTTCCCTCCCGGCTCTCCTCTTTGCCGCCAGCCCGGCGTTTTCATCGAGGGGCGAAGGAGCTTGCTGGAAATCCCACCCTATTTCCATCCTCAACGCTCCCAAAGGGGAAACGCCGCTGACGCCGCGCCGCCCCTCGCTCACCCCCCGAGGGAAGGCCGGTCGCTGGCTTCCTGCGGGGCGACGACGGGGCATCCGCTTCCCTCTTACACGTAAAGATCACCTCCACTCCGCAGGGAAATCCATTCCCAGAACTAAATCTGTACACTCGGGACAAAGCATGGAATAAGCGTTCTTCCAAGTCTCCGTCTTCCCGGGTATAAAAATAGGGTCTAAGAACTGGTGCTTTCTGCCCGGGCAGCTGAACTACGGGTGTAAAACCAGCTGCCTTACTTCTGGGGTTGGGGGGGATGGTGAAAAGATGGGTTTGTGCCTTTTAAAACCAGATGAAGGATTATTCGATGGAGCTAAAGTGCTCTGGTGGGACTTACCAGCTCCGGCTGTTGTGGGGACAAGGTGGACAAGCGTCCACTGGCGGCTCTCCGGGATGTAGGGAAGGCTCACCCGCCGCTTCCCTACTGCTGCTCGCGGTACTCAAAACGTCTCCGTCCGAACTGACCCTGACCCAGGCTTCACCGTGTAAAAACCTGACCTAAAAACACTCATAAAGCCACCTGAAGAAACATCAGCCTTAACCTGACACCGAGGAAACGATCCCAAAGGCGGCTCCGGGGAAAGGCATGGAACAGTTCGCTGGACACGAGTTCCCAGTCCTCGCGAGGAGAATGAGACGAGACGATGCCCGGCCTTGGGCACTAAACCCAAATGCAAGTGGCACACAGATTTGTCCCCGTTTGGTTTTTTTTTTTTTCCTGTCGATTTTTGCTGTTTTGAGGGGGT